GAGCGCAAATTCATCTCCAAATTTAGTGACTCTCATCCACAAAAAAGGTGTCCCCCTTTGTCAGCAGTGCTCTTAAGAAGACGCATTTATTTTCAAAACTTCCTACCTAACCTAAAAAATTGAAGAGCCCTAGGTACCCACATCCAAGTAGTACGATGAGAAGTGGGAGAAAGAGGGGAGAAATTTATCAGCAGTCAAATAGAGGTGTATTTTCCAGATTTGAGATCTTAATTTTTTGAGGGTGATTTCAAAAACTCTAGGAACACTTATAATGATAGCGAAGCGAAGCAACGCTGACGTTTCCACCCTGTTTTCTCACTTTATTTCCTTTTGCATCTGGAGAAAGAGTATCTGATATGCAAAACTTGAAACCTACCCAAACCGTGAGGAGGCTCCGTTGATTTTCGCAATGTTTCCATCAAATAACCCTAAATTATAATTTTTATGAAAATAAAATCAATAATCGGAAAAAACTACCGAAATAGCGTTGAAAGCTTGGGGACGCATGGCTAGGAAAGCGAGTAACATTGGACAAGCTTTCGCAGGGTTAGCATCAGCAGCCTTCTTAAATAACGCAACTCCTTGATCAAGCTCATAATGTTGGAAGAAACCTAAAAAATTATTTGATGATTATATGAATTTGTAGTGTTTGCACTCTTAATTTGAGATACAGACTACTTTATTCATGTGTTCACAATGACTAGAAATATAGGCAGGGCGAAATTGTTGCTAGGGAAATTCGAAAGCGACTAGCAAATTTTTGAAACTTGTCAATGTTACTTGGTGATAAAAATAATGTTTCAATGTGGCTAAGAAGAACCACTCAATTTATAAAAGTATAGAAAATGAGTATGAAGCGAACTAAGAGTTGTCTCTTTTTTGTAATAGTATATGGCTCTCCACTATTCTCTAAATCTGTTAGCTCACATCCGAATCCTTCCATGTTTTCGATCCCTCTCTGTGTATAATCATCAGCAACCATTTCGATTACTTTGTAGATGAAATCGCGATTGTCGCGCATTCTAAAGAATGCCTTTGATTACACTACTTTTTACATAATCCCTCTTTCTTACACTTCATTGAGATAATTTATAGCATCGTCATGTTCGCCAAATTTTATTTTCATCTGCAATTCGAGGAGCTGGAAAGAAAAAGTGATAAGTTTAGAAAGACTACAATTCCTTCCGATTACCTGTTTAAACTCATCACTGATATCCTTTCTTATCGCTGATATCAGTAGCATACGATAGCGAGCGGTTGTATAGTTCTCCGACATCAGCACACGGGTGCGCAGATCTGAAAAGGGCTCTAATGCGAACTTTTCATTGCATTGGTAAACTCAAATGTTTTTTAAAACTTTTTACCCGATTTCTACTAACACAGCCTAAGTTGGTGTATTTTTTACTGAGAAAAGCTAATTGAGCCCTTTTGATAATTAAATTTTTATTTTCAACATTCAACCGCTTATGAATCTGCGACATCCTGA